TGTGATGGATAGATTATTAGAGAAAAAGTATGATGTAATAGGCAGTGTATGAAAAAGTAAGGGTAAAAGTAGTTTTTTAATAGAAAGGGGAAGTGTTTCGTTGGAAGTGGAAAAAATAAAAAGGGAAGTATTTTTGATAACGGAGGGAGTATATAGAGTGGCTGACTGTTTTTCTCTCTCCTCTACATCACTTTATACCATAAATTTTTTCTTTTTTTAAACTTTGTGTCAAATCAAATTGAGAGTTTTTTTTTAAGATAAATGGAGTATTATTATTGCTCTTAATTTTATAAGTAAAATTTTAGAATGGTTCTTGGAATACTACTTCAATATAATTCTGATCTCCGGACATTGTATTTCCTTTATTATTGATGCATTATGCATTAATAATGAACGTTTGTCCTAATAAAGAAAAAAGAAAAATTACGGAGTAATAACCACAAAAAATGTGATGTTTTTTTTTGTCCAACGGAGACGGCGGGGGGACGTTTCAAATCCAAAGTGGTCTGTCACTTCCACCGTAGTGCGCGAGCATAAATGCATTTGGATTTTGAACCCCACCGGACAAAAATTATGAGAGAGAGGTTGTACATTTTATACTAATCCGTAATGTATAATGTGACATGTACCATACACAAATCTAATTAATTTTTTTAAAGAATATTATAATACATATATAAAATAAAATTATAGCTACAAGTCAACAAAAATGATAAGTTTAGTATAATCCCAATTTTATTAATTAGAGTGTGATGGGTTATATACTTATATATATAATTTCATACGTAGTAACTCTCATTTTTTCATCAGAATATTTTTTTTTATTTTTTCTTTCCAAAGGAAATGGTTTGGTGACTTACAATTTATTTATTTTTCCTTCCTAACCAAATTATATCCATACTTAACCTTTTTTATTTTTCAATAAGTTTTTTAAACTTCATAAAACCAAATTACTCCATATAATTTTCTTTTGGGGGAGGGTAGTAAACATTGAATGAAAAATGTACTGTAAGATGAACAAATTTCAAACTATATGTACTTTCACTTAAATTGTGAATACAACAATTCCCAAATTAGCCTTATTTATATTATCAAATTAAAAGTCAATAACAATTACTCCATCCATATTGGAATATGTTGGACTATATTTAGACAAAAAAGAAAAATAAATTCAATACATGAACTAATGAACACCTAAAACCCCACATTTTGACTAATTGGAAAATAATTATGAAGAATTTAAAACTTTGTCCCTATTTGTGAAACAAATTTTAAGTTGTACTTGTACTTGGCAAACAAAATTAAAATAAAGGTACAGTTGCCTCCCATACTTCCAGTATTATTGTTGTATTAATACATGCATGGCAAAAATGTCAAAAGACTTTGATGAGAAGCAAATTTATTTGTAGTGCTCGTTTGACAATAATTTATGTACTCTCTCCGTTCTTAAAAAGATTGTTACGGTTTGATTTTTTGGTCAAATTGTATCACATTTTGACGATGAATTATGCAAAAAGTATATTAAGTTATAATTAATATAAATTTAATAAAATTAAGTTTATTTTAAACTATAGTTTCAAAATATCAAATTTTTATAATATTTCATTATTTTAAACTATATTTAATTTGTGATTAAACGATGCCACATTTTGATCAAAAATCAAATTGTGGCAATCTTTTAGTGACAGAGGGAGTATTTAGCTTTAATATTATGTTTTTAAAAAATTATCTAACAACATCACTTGATTTAAATATTTTTCAAATTAATTTACACTTTTAAAAAGTTGCTTCAAAATACTAACCTTAACTAAAAAATTTGTTTCCAAACGAAGGCGTAGTATTGTAAGTATGTACTCCCTCCGTTTCTTAAAACCCTTTCTCTTTCATTTTTTTTTGTTTTTCTTAAAACACTTCCCCTTTCTATTAAAAAACCACTTTTACCCCTACTTTTTCATACCCTACCTATCACATCATACTTTTTCACTAATAAGTAAACTATCACATCTTACTTTTACCTATCACATCAAGGGCAAAATTGGAAAGTCAACTACAATTTAACATTTTCTTATTTTCCCCCAAAGTCAAAAGAGGAACTCTTTTGAGAAACGGAGGTAGTAGTAGAGAAATGAGAGGCTAGCCCTTTGAAAAAATTCCAACGAAATGTACGAAATTCCAACAAAAATGCGGTTATAGAACAAAAAATTTAGGCCCGCCCAATCATATTGGAAGGCCCTGTGCAATTAAATAATTTTGGTCCAAAAATTTTTAAATTAAAATCATATCCTTAATTCTAAAACTTTTTCCCCACACACTATTTGAATTCTCTTTTGGGCATTAAAATATGAAATTGAAAAGTTTTGAAAGAGAAATCCAAAATAGAATTAATGATCATAAACTTATAAAAAAAGTTATCTATGAATTGATAGATTAAAGGCAAAGGAACAAAGTAATGAAGTAGGGAGGAAGTATAATAAAAGAGGGAGAATGGGAGAAGGCAAGAATTAAAGAAAGAATAATAGTCCAAGAGTCCAACTGAAGAGCTGAGCTGGGAATGAAAAAAATTAAATCAAATACTCCGTACGTAGTAAGTAAATTACTGTTCATGGCTTCTTGGATAGAATATGGACGGTCGAGGACAATATGGAGTAAATGAATAAGGGCCGGATTGGACTGTAATTAATGGGTAAGTATAAAAATGGGCCCTCCAAATTTTGAGGCCCTGTGTAAAAGATACTCATGAACTTGCATATGGGCGGGCCTGAAAAAATTCCCTTAAATATGATACTCTTAGTCTCTTACCAAAGAGTATAAAAATCATTCTTATGACTACAAACACAAACTTTAACTTTGGTTGACTTATTTAATTCTTTACATAGTATCAGAATCTTGTTTTGTCAAACTTTTAAAATACTTTTGAGCGGTGTAATTTTTATTTTTTATTTTTTCTACCAATTCATAAATAAAATAATTTTAAAATCAATGATAGTTTGTGCATATATCGAAATGTTACAAGCAATTTGGAACTAGAGAATACGTAATTAATTTTTTTTGGATATATACTTTTTCTTTGTGGGAAGTGGGAACAGAAGACGATAAGAAGACTTTGCTTGCATTTGAAGTCAAATAAAAAAGGCCGTCGCACCTTCCATGTCGAATATTTTACTTTTTCTTTTACTTTTTTCTTGAAATTAAAGTGAAAAATATGACGATTCCAAAAAAAAAAAGTGAAAAAAAATGATGAAAGTGTGGAGTACGGAGTATTTGGTATCCTTTGGGCACAGCGGGGTGGGTTGCAGTCTCTTACACATTTGACTAAAATTTTAGGCCCATTTAGCTAAAAACATGTTAAAATACTCCATTTATAAATTAAATTTATTGGTGGTGGGGGGTTTGGGGGGGGGTTCAACTTGAGCTTGGTACATAGATTAAGAAAAAAATAAAATTTTATGGTTTGAAAATATGAAGTTTATCCAAAATTCAAAAATAAATTTTTTTTGGACTCACAAAAAAGAAAATATGAATTGTTTTTATAGGACGGAGGGAGCATGTAACTTGTCATTTGGATTTAAAAATGGACAAGTTATTGGTTTGATACAGTTTCAGTTCGAGAATTGTAGATTCTAAGTAGTGGAAGGGACGGGAGGGCGGGAGGGGGGGGGGGCTTTGAACAATAGCGGCCTCACCCAAGTTTTGGCATATTAATGAAGTTCTATCTTGGTTGAAAAAACGTGATTACAAGATTTTACTATGATATTTTTTCTGATTACCTTTGTGTTGGAGGCCATTAATCACGACGAAGTTTCAATTGTGATTCTTAGATTGCAAGGAGTTTATTTCTTTGTTTATCTTTTTTCTCTATCCATTGTTCATATAATTTCTAATGTTATTGCACATTATCATGCGAAGCGAGTGAAAATACCCGATGATATTTGCCCCTGATGTGATAGATAAAAGTAAGATGCGATAGTTTGGTTATTAGTGAAAAATTATGATGTGAGAGGTAGGGTATGAAAAAGTAGGGGTAAAAGTGATTTTTTTAATAGAAAAAAGAAATGTTTTAGGGAATTGAAAAAAAAGTGAAAGAAGAATGGATTCTAAGGAACGGATGTAATTTTTAAGTGTATAGATTTTATTTTTAAATTCAAAATTAATGTATACTACCTAACAGATAAATTTAGTAATAGATTTTATTTTATTCTTTCCATCATCTTCTATGGAGCCAAAGTTTCACCATTTTTTGGCTTTGAGGTGTGATGGAATAAATCAAAATGGATCTTTAAACTGTCTGCGCTTCTTTAATTAATGAAGTAGTAGTTAGTCAAGCAATGAAACTTGTGACGTTGAGTCGGGGTCTCTTTGGAAACAGCCTCTCTACTTTCGAGTAGGGGTAAGGTCTGCGTACGCACACCCTTCCCAGACCATACTCTTGTGGGATTTAACTTAGTTGTTGTTGTTGTTGTAGATAACTTTAGTAATAAAATTTAGGCTAAAATTCACCATTGGTCCTTCAAATTTATCAGTTGTGCACGATTGGTCCTTCAAGTTTCAAAAGTCCATAAATAGTCCTTCAACTTTATGAGTTCTGCACCATTGGTCCTTCAAGTTTCAAAAGTGCATAAGTGGTCCTTCAGGTACACGTCAGCCCTCCATATGAAGTCCTTTTGACAGTAAATATTAAAAGTTAAACGAAATACTAGTTTCATATAATACGAGTAAATTCCACTAGGTACGACTACTCCGTATTATATGGAGCTATTATTTCATTTAGCTTTTAACATTTACTATCAAAAGGACCTCAACGGGAGGGCTGACGTGTACTTGAAGGACTATTTATGCACTTTTAAAACTTGAAGAACCAATCGTGCATAACTCATAAAGTTGAAGAACTATTTACGGAGTTTTAAAATTTGTAGGATGAATGGTGGAGTTTAGCCTAAAATTTATTTTAAAAAAAAAAAGTCTCTCCACCAGAATGATCGAGAACAATCCCTCTCCAAAATCTCCGCCTATCTGACCATCGCATCGCTTCCATTCCCTCTCGTCGCCGCCGCCGTCGCTCCTTTCCGTCAAAACACTACCGGGAGCCTGTGCGTCTTCCTCCCTTTTCCAGACTCCTCCGTCCTGCTTTCCGGTCAACCTAACGCCGCACGTGGAGCCTTCTACGCTTGTTGGAGTTTCCCGCCTCCCGATTTCTCCCCAGGTTTGCCGTGAAGAGGGCGACGCCAACCTTCCATCTTGCCCCGGCGAAGACAGATTATTCATCTAGAAAGTAAATTTGTCTGATGATATGAACTGTATTAGTTGTTTGACTTGGTTTTTTTGAATTGCGTCCTTCCGCTTATCAATGTGTTCGTCTCCCAATTGGGGCGAAGTTACTGGAAGTGTCCCAACTCCCAATTGAATTGCTTTGCATGAATTAGATCATATTGCGTAAATGTTTATGTGATGAAAAAGATTGTGTATGTAGTTTGCAGAATATCCTTGATTCCTTGTGCATTTCATGGTAAATTAATGAATTGTCTCGATTTGAGCGTTGATTGTTCTGTAAATTACATCGACAGTATTTTCCATTTCGCATTTCTGGATTTTTGTCTTTAAAAAAAGTTGTTAATGGTTTTTGGCTGACTAGCTGTTCTTCTCTCGAATGTAGGTCCGGAATGAAGGGTTTGGATATGATGCTCAATGGATCTTGTCTTGCTTCTGGAGTTTCTTATAGGCCGTGTATGTCTGGAAATGCCCAGCCTTATAATTCACCATCCTTGTGCATTGCATCCCCACTTTCCAGAGTTGCAATATCTTCCATTAGAGGTCCTTTGAAACCCTGTTCCTACATAGGTCAGCGCCTATCCTTCTAAGAAACCATTATCTTTTTACTGTTTTCTTCCCTGCAAGAGTGCATTATTTTAAGTTTGTTCTGAGACCATTTTATTTTGTTCCAACATTTTCTTGCTTTGTAGAGGGAAAACATGCTTCATTATATATATATATTTTTGGAAATGTTGTTGGTTTTGAGTGTTTTTATTACTCTGAAATGGTTTTAGATTTCTTATTCAAAGTTTAGTTTATGAACTTCTGCACAGAGTTAGTGTTGATATAAATGCTGAAAGACTTGTTCTTAGAATGCTTAAACCCCTTCAGCGGTTCTGTGCGGGTGCCATTCTCTTATCTTTGCTCAAGAATTAAGAAAAACATTGAAGTGCACCCAATTTCAAGGCAAAACCAATATAAATAGTCACTATTGATATTCCTATTTATATTTTAAATGCAATCTTTTTATTAATAGTCACAATTAAGTTAGTTAGTTAGGGATTAAGGGTCAACTGGACTAAAATCAATGATCAATTAGGAGTAATTATTTATGATAGAAACAAAAAATTTCCCTAGTGCAACATTTATTTAGAAACTAAGGGTGTACTAGTAAGACCAGCTCCACCCCACATCTTGGCAAATTATAAACTTTGTTGTCATTTCAGGAGTTTCTTCTGCGTCATCACTCCCCTTGCATATGAGGAATAAGGCTTATTCATGTGCAGAGCTGAAACTACCAAGGGAACCTCATTTTCCCCTCTCGTCTATAAAAGCATTCAACGACGTAACCTATGATGCGCTTTCATTGTATTCTAGCAAACTTACCTTATGTGCTCCTCTTAGATCACCAAGGCAAGAACAGTTCTCTCTCACTACAAGAGCATTCAGGGACGCATCCTACCTTAAAATGGATGAGAAACCAAAGTGGTGGTGGAGAACCTTAGCATGCCTTCCCTATTTGATGCCTCTCCATCTAACATGGTATTTTGCAGGCGAATCATTCCATCTTCGTCCCTTGGTGGAGAAATCCAACTTCCTTTCCAACCCTTACAATAACTTCCTAAGAAGGCTGCCCACCTGGCTTATGATGGCATATACCTTCACAGCTTGCTTTTATGTAGTGAAGAAAAAGGAATGGCCACACTTTTTCAGATTCCATGTCATAATGGCGATACTGTTGGAGAATTGGATGCATATCATCATCGTTGTGTATGGCTGGCTGCCGCCTTTTGTGCATTGGGGAAATAATATTGGAACACACATTTGGGCTGCGGTTACTGTTGGGTTCCTCATGATGATCTTGCAGTGCCTGAAATGTACGCTTTCCGGTAAGTATGTTGATATTCCATTGGCGTCTGATGCTGCTGATTTCCACCTTAAGGGATTGTATTAGAGATGAAACATAATTCTTAGCACCAGCATTCTCTTTATGGTTTCATGTGTGTACAATTTCAGATTAGATAGCTTCATACACTTCCTTTTTTTTCATTTTTTATTTTGTGGTACACCGTGTTGTTATTACGGAGTATTATTATTATTGTTATTATTATTATTATTAATATTATTATTTACAATATATTCTTATGATGGTGATGAAGATTTATAGGGAGTATAAGAAAAAGGCTTATGATCATTTTGAACCAAACTTTTACTGAGTACTAACTTGGCATGTCTTTTGCTAGACTACAGGCAGTTCATCTGACATTGGTTCAATGTCTTGCTATGATCCGAGCCTCTTACTGTTTCATCCCACATCAGAAAAATGAAATAAACACTACTATATAAATAAAGGTGAAACACTACCCGATATGTTAAACCTTTGGATAGATTTATATGAGTAAATAGTTAAATTTCACTCAAGAATTCTACCCAATTCACTCAGCCCATCGAAATTCTAACATGGTATCGGAACCAAGTTCGGCTTGTGTTCGACTCACCCTGGTATTCACTAGGTTAGTTATAAAGAGATTGAGATGCTAGATCCATCTATTGATCCAAGTAGTAATTAGACCAGACTAGTTGTCACTTTGGGGGGGGGGGTGTTGGAGTTCATCCCACATCAGAAAAATAAAATAAAAACTACTCCCTTATAAAGAAAGGATCCCAACGGATCCGAATTTTATGTGTAAATAGTCAAATTTCACTTAATACTCCAGTTCATTCGATTCACTGAAATTCCAATACCTACGTTGTTTTGTTTGAAAAATTAATGATTCCTACCTCTACCTTTCTCTAACTCCCCTGCATCTCAATCTCCATCCTTTGCGGATTCGCTACAATGAAGGGAGGATAGAGGGTTCAGGGGTAGAAAACATCAATTTTTTAAACAGGACATTGTGGGAGGCTTTGGTCATTATATGGCATTGATATTCAATGTCACATGAACGAGATGGTAATGTTAATCTCTAATCCAAACAAAACTCTAAGAGGAATGTCTTTTTTAAAAAAATCTATGGACTAATATGTTCAATACAATCCCACTTTAATTGAATTTGAGAAAAAAATATCACCCTAGAAAAGCAAAGTGGTAATCTCATACTAGTAGTACATAGAAATGTTTATAAAACAAGAGGTTTTGATTAAGTAGTGACTACAAAGGTTTTTGTACTCAGTTTTTTAAAATAAAAAAGTATCTCAAGCAAGTTAAATATATACGGAGTAGATTATTAAATTTAGTTAAACAAGCTGATTATTAATTTCAACTAAAATATATAGAATATAGGTATAATATATCTTACGGAGTACTAAATTTTAAAATTGTACTCCGTACATTGTAAAATATGACTATTTTTTATGCATAGTAGAAAGGGGTAAGAAAGGAAAAATCTCATTGACGTAGCATCAAACTTTGACGTCATAAAATTTAATAAAAGTGTTAAAAATTTAAAAATGTGTGAATGGATTTCTTTAAAGTGAGAAAATAATTATGGGTGACAACATCAATAACAACTTAGTTTGATCTAACAACGAAAATATTTACGCTTCAATTTTTTACACGAGCACTCCAAAATGCACTATTAACCTCTCTCATATTGATAATATATTTTGGAGTGTTCTTTGGAAAAGTGAAGTATAAATGCCGTTTGCCATAGGAAAAATGTGGATTTTAATTTGGGATGAACAAAAAGGAACGTGAGAAATATATTTTGAAACAAAAATAAAACAACCAAAACTTGTATTTTCAATATAAAAAATGAGAATGTGTATCGTACACCCGAATGTACGTAGTTAGCTACACCCAGCAAATATTTATTTTGAGTTAATAATATATTTATTTTGAATCAAGAGAATTTTTTTAACTATAATATTTATTTTGAAGCTTGCTCAGCATAATATTTATTATTAAATAATGCAGTGTTCAATCTTGAATATTTTTTTAATTACAAATTTATTTTGACGTAACAAGAGAAAAATAGATCATGCCCTTATCACATAATTAGCCATAAAAAAGTGTTAAAAAAGAATTAAGAGTAAACTCGACAAAAGAAAGGGGGCAAGTCCTTTCAAGTTATCAACGAGAACCGGTTTTTTTTCCTGTAAAAAAGAAGAAGAAGAAAAAACTCAGAACCATCGTCATCTGCGATTCACAATCATTATCGTCGTCGTCGCCGTCGTCGTCCGATTAACTTCACTAACAGTCGAATTCCGGCGCTTCAGGTATATCCTCTGCTCTTCTTCGCCTTAAACAACCTCCCGCACCGTTAACAGATTCGAAGCTGTTTCATCAATTCTCTGTATCCTTGTTTTAAAATTCCTTGATTTGATGTATACTGCGTTATCGTTGTGATGATGATCCAATGACATTTTAGATCTGAGGTCCGCTTTTGCCATGCATTCGGATCAAGCTGAGCTCACCACTGACCAGGTAGGTACCCAACACCCCCTCCCCCCACCCCTCAATCGACTTGATTGTACATAAATGTTTGTGATTGGTCGTGTTTGATTGAATGAAATTTGTTCGTGATTTTAATCAATTTGTAGCTGGATGAATGCTTATGATTTGCCTATATTGACTGGCGTTGCCCTTTGATTTTGCCTTGTTTGGAAGGTTTTGACAAGGAATATCCAATGGGAGAGTTACATGACCACAAAGATGATCACAGGAACTGGTCTTCAGCTGTTAAGGAGATATGATAAGAAGACTGAAAGTTACAAGTCCCAACTGTTGGATGATGTAAGCATTTCCTTTTCTGCTTCTTTTCTCTCCAAGTATGTCGCGATAGCAACTGTTCTATTGTGTTGTTCAAAGAGTCATGTCTTCGAGTTCCGTAATTCATGAAAGAACATTGTGTTTGCCCGAGAAAATGAGATTCGATCCCTTTCGCACACATGACCCATATGATGCTCAAGGATCCCACATAATGTTTAAGACATATTATATCTCACCCCGGGATTGTGTAAAGTCCTTGTATTTTTTTCAATTCTCTGATCCCTCGGGCTTTCATATAGGTTAGCTCTTATAAATGGTATTTATTAATGGAATGTATCTATGATATAGAGCAATTGTCAATATATAGGTCGTCATTGCTAGTCTTATAGAATTCACACTTTTTCTCTTTAAACTTTTTTTAAAACTTTTTTGGGATAAAATTACTTGAAGTTTAGCTCTGTTCAATGTAATAGTAATCTTTATTGGGGGAAAGGTTTTAAAATGTGACTCTTTTATTTAGGAATGGAGTATAATTTTGATCCTATAGTCCTATTTCCAAAGATAGTGTGAGCTCATCTAGGCCAAGCTTCATTGCTAGACATTCTTTATCCACGGTTCAAAATCTCTTGATATCATCGTTGTGTCAGCTTTGGGGAGATCCATTTGATGAAAAATTTGTAGAATAACATACTGTTGGAGGTCATTGACAATTTGCAACCTCTGCAGGATGGTTCAGCTTATGTCCGAGTGTTTGTTAGCATCCTAAGTGACATTCACAAGGAAGAAACACGGGAATATGTTTTAGCTTTAATTGATGAAATGCTCACTCGTAAGTGCAGGAAAATGTGACGGAGTGCCATGTTTTCTTATCACTTTGTTTGAGTCTATTTGACCCATTTTCTCATCCCTTTGCAGTTAACCCAAAAAGAGCTATATTATTCCAAGACAAGTCTCTTGTGGATGAAGACATTTACAAGCCTTTCCTAAGGCAATGCTATTCTTATCTTTGTTAATTATCTCTAGTATTCTGAATTTAAGGATTTCTTTTTTTATACATGTTTGTATATGTGCATTTTTCACTTGTTTTGACAGCTAAGTGAAAGGATTGTCTATCTAGGGTTCACGTTATACGAAAAAACACTAATGGTTTGTTTTTAAAGAGCAGCAGTTCATACTTCATATTCCCAGCCTCACTTTGTGTGGTCACTAATGTTGTAAGTGTTAGCCGTAGGCTAGGGCTTAGCACCTAGACACCGATTAATAGGGGGGTTAGACTGGATCTAAAGATAATCTGGCATGATCTGAGTGGGTAAATACCAAAATGCCTAGTTGGACAAGAATCCTCCAACTGCTGGCAGTCGTGTCCTAATTCCCCAAAGTTTTTGGATCGAGTATTTCTTTTCACTGTTCTTTTTGTCCTCAGGATTTAACTTCTCTCTCTCTCTCTCTCACTCTCTCTCTCTATCTCTCTATCTCCCTCCTCCAGGCTGCTTTTTGAAGGCAACTGGTTTGTTCAAGAGAAGAGTTGCAAGATACTTTCTTTGATAGTAAGGTAGTATATTCCATAAATGAATTTCTCAAGGGACTGTGGAAAGAAATTATTAAACATAACAAATCTTTTTTCTTTTTATAAATTTCAGTGTCAGGCCAAAAGTTTGGGAAAATGGTTTTGGTAATGGGGATGCCTCAAATTCGAAAAAGAAACTCACTACCAGCGATGATGTATTAAAGGGCCTTGTTGAGTGGCTTTGCGTGCAGGTTTGTGCAAATTGAAACAGTGATGGTTTCCCTCGTTGATCTTGCATATTTTGGAACTCAAATCAGGCTGCAAATATCTGTCTGACTATAAACTGAGTCTGCTGTGCCTTTCCACAATTATATACTTGTTATTATCATTCATGTGAAAATTTGCATCCTCATTTATCTCTGAACTGCAGCTGAAAAGACCATCTCATCCTACTCGTGGCATTCCAACGTCAATCAACAGCCTTGCAACTCTATTGAAAGAACCTTTGGTGCGATCATTATTTGTCCAAGCGGATGGAGTGAAGTTGCTTGCTCCTTTAATTTCTCCAGCTTCTACCCAGCAGTCTATCCAGGTGGGCTTTTTTCTCAAATAGATTGTTTATGTTAAACAAGTTTCATCTATGCGGAGAATATTCAGATGTACTACCTTGGTCCCCAAAAAAGACTCATATTTGACCAATATGCAACTTTTAAGTTGTTGTGAGATACTACTGTTTTTGATCATTAACCATACAATTTTTTAATTTATTTGTTGGTTTTGCTAAATTTATCATATGTAACTCTTCTGTAACTTCTTTTTTGGCATCTCATTTGCAAATTATATGAAGTAAATTAGCTTTGTTTGATCAAACTTGACTCTTTTCTTCGCAAAAAAAGTTCTAAAAACATACTCCCTCCGTTCCAAAAAAAGACTCCTAGTTACTATTCATATGTCAAACTAACTCTATTTTCTTTATACATTTTCGTCGATCATTTCATAAAATAAAATAACCTTGTCACCACTTGTTTTGTAGAACTTTTGATGTAGTTTTTTAATATATAATTTTTATTTTAAATTTTACTCCAATCTTTACTTATACTGATTTGAAAATAATTTCAGTCAAATATTGTAAAGAGAACATGAGTCTTATTTTGGAACAGAGGGACTAACATTGGGGGGGGGAGTAGTAGTTTCCTGTGTCTCTTTCCAAGCATATGCTACTTTTAAATCTGATGCTGATTTTTTGCTACTTGTGAGTTTCAAGTTGGTCATGTGAAGTCGTTAAATGCCATCTGACGTCTTGCCTCCCTTTAAACAGCTCCTCTACGAAACATGCCTATGTGTTTGGCTTTTGTCTTACTATGAACCTGCAATAGATCACTTAGCAACTTCTAAGGCCTTGCCGCAGTTAGTAGAAGTTGTTAAAGGTTCCACAAAGGAAAAGGTGAGTCTTATACTTGTTATGGGCATTCTTCAGCAAACAGTCATATATCACGTGCTAATACTCAAGCTTCATATTTGCTCTTCTCAATCTCCCACACTGCCACACATTCTGTTGCACTCACAATTTGTCCCTACTTTACCGGCTGATTCTTCAACTTTTTTGGCTCTAAGTTTGAATAAGTTATTATCAATGCTTACCAGGTCACACACAATGTTTCGATGTGCGTGATTTATGAATAATATATGGTGTGTCAACTTGTAGGTTGTCAGGGTTGTTGTCTTGACTCTGAAGAACTTGCTTCACAAGGGGGCGTTTGGTGCACTCATGGTGGACCAGGGAGTACTACATATTGTTCAGAGCTTGAAAGCACAGGCTTGGAGTGATGAGGTGGGATAACAATCTCATGAATTTTTCTTTTGGCATGGATTAACATTGTAACTGAATTGAAATGATTTAAGATGGATTGAGGAAATCCCAATATCTTATTTTCCTGAGTATTAAAGCCTCGTTTCAATTTTGTGAAGGATCTTTTGGAGGTTCTTAACCAACTAGAAGGAGATCTGAAAGATAAGATTAAGACATTGAGTTCATTTGATAAGTACAAGCAAGAGGTCCTTCTTGGTCATCTTGATTGGTCTCCTATGCATAAAGATCCTTCATTCTGGAGGGACAACATAACAAATTTTGAAGAGAACGATTTCCAGGTATCACTTATTCAGCTTGATATAGTGGATGTCTTTTAAATTGTGTGTTTGCTGCAAAAAGGCTGTCCCGTCAGATGTCTCTGCTCAAGCATAATTATCACCATTTAAGTATTTGCAAGTAGTTAACACCATAAATGCATACGAAACCAAAGTTCTACACCTTTTAAAGAAGGAATGGTTATATGTAAATGAAAACCATCATCATAAGTTTTTTCTACTCGCATAAGATTATGATGTATTACCTCATTGCGTAGGGTTACTGCTTAATTTCATGTGACCCCTGCTGATTATTGCAGTGAATCACCCGGATAACATTTTGTGTCCCCCCCCCCCACACAAATTTCTTGGATCAGTTACTCAATCTCCTCTATTCTCTCATCAATTCCTTGGCAAAAGTTGTTCGCGTGCCACCAACGGCCATTTTAGTGAGGACTTTTATCTATCTTATCCCTCGTGCATCCAAATTGACATAGGACATGCACTTTGACATAAACTTAAATAGTTCACTTCCATTGCAATTTGGTCCTTGTATATATCAATCATGTATACTATCCTATATCTACTCAAGTGAGTAGGGATAGTGCACTCAATGAATCTAGAGGGATTGAATCAGACAACTGCAGGATCAATTAGTATGATGAAATTACGTGACCGAAAGAAAAAAAGATGTTATACAAAATGAACTCCGTGGATCGGATGATAAAAATTAAAAAATATCACAATAGTCAGAGATGCCACATAAAATAACCTTTTATGTAACAAAGTAAAATCGTCATTGCATATCATTGAAATCATCATATGCACATTCTAAACAACATTGTGTACTACAAAAAATAACATTGCATACCATACAACAACAAAACACTGATGGCCCCTGAGTTGGACTGCAGATCCTGAGGGTCCTTATTACGATATTGGACACGTCCAGCGATCCAAGAACGCTTGCGGTCGCTTGCTTTGATCTGTCACAATTCATTCAATGCCATCCTGCTGGAAGGGTAATAGTGACCGATCTCAAAGCCAAGGAGCGTGCAATGAAGCTTTTGAACCATGAGAATGCCGAGGTCACCAAAAACGCCCTGCTTTGCATCCAGAGGCTTTTCTTAGGTGCAAAGTATGCAAGTTTTTTGCAGGCGTAACACTTATTTTATTATTTATTATTATCGTCATTATTATTATTAATATTACCCTTGTTTGTCTTGCATAAATTAATCCCACCAATAATCCACTCTTGTGAAGATGTGAGATGTGTCTCCTTATACTATATGTTATCCTGTATCTACTACCGATCACGGAGTATTTCTTAAGATATTTGCACCGAGTTATTTTGGCAGGGAAAGTGTTTCAAATGTAGAATTTCTTTGAATTGTAATGTTGTATGAGAACTTGGTATTGAGCCCTGGAATGAAGGTTTTCTTTACTTATTTGGTACCAACAATGCTTTGGGGCCATATCAAACTGGTACCTAATCGTTGTTTCGATTTTATGAAATAGACTCCCCCCCCCCAGCCCCACCCCCTCGACGGAAAAGAAAAGAAAATGTGATTACATACCAAAAAAATTGGTAACATCATACTCCCTCTAACCCTTGTATCAAAGTACAACAGCATAATTTACATAAATTAAGAAAAGTCATTGCAGTAATAACCAGACCATGTTATTGTGAGATTCTACTAGGTTGTTGTGTCATTACGATAATATTCTTATTCTTAAAAAATACTAATGGTAATTACTTCTTATCCTCTTATTTTGTTTTGTAAATGAAAACTTAAGAGCGAACACGAAAACATTTATCATGGGAAAATCACAGAAAAGAGGAATAAATTATATTTTTTTCTTTGAGAAGGAAAAAAAGAATAAATGATTCTAAAAAAACAAAGAACAAATATAGTACCTTCTATAAAAAGGTGTTAACATTACCACTCTCAAACTTATCATTGTCCCCTCCATTCTCCCTAAAGTAAAGATCATTGACTACTTTCAAAACGTCAATTATAATGACGGATGGAGTGTACGAATTGACCAAAACACCCTTGGTAAAAATATGAATTTTTACTCCAGACATTAAGTGGCCAAGAAATTGGCCGAGAGGGCACGCGGTAAAAACCAACAGTCTAACATTAATATCATGACTTCAAAACCTCAAGCACGGGATGAACACCACGCTAATTCACATGCCGGTGAAAGCCTTCTTTCCACCAATGGCTGAACCAGCAGGAATCACTTTCACAACATTGAACCTCACAGTCTTGGATAACGGTCTGTCAATAATGGAACGACAAAGAGTCAACACATTTGAGAAGAACGGGGAAAACAGCCTAGTACAAAAACAGAGAGACTGTTTCTGTTAGACCCTATATGCATTGTTGCACATTGGAGAGCCAATAGAAAGAATAGAATTCAATGCCATGTTTGGTTTATCATGGTTAAAACTGGTGCAATTTTCACCGCAACCATGTCTGCAAATCTGTTTACAATTCAAATTCCATTGTATGGTTTTCGACGGTAATCCATGGCTCATAAAGATCGTGTTTTTTCCCCAAAGATTTTCAAACCGTCAACTTGGCGATTTTCCATGGTCTTTAAAATTTCAATGTCTCATAATATAAAAGCAAACGATAACATGCCCGTTTGGCAACAAGCTCAATGCTATGTATTTTGACAAAGCTATATAATGCTAGCATTTAATTTTATCATTTTCAAAGTTAATTTGCATCATTAAAAAATAATCCAAAATGCTATTGCTAGTAGGGCCAATTATGTATGGTAAATTCTACTCAAATCTCATTTCACCCCATATTATAGCTTCATATAGGGTACGAGACAAAAATACTGGGACAAACTAAAAAGATGAATAAGACAAAGAGGAGTATACATACTATACTGGTTTCCCAAGCTGGGTATAAAGATTAATTTACCGTAACCATACGATGTCAAATACCATGCCGAACATTATGTAACCATTAAGTGCCCAATCAAAACAAGGACTCGAGGAAAGAGAATAGTGATAATGGTTATGCTCCTATTGCTCCATAAATCCTTTTTTAATATTCTCATTTACCATTTCCACGTTCAAACTATATCTTTTTTCTTTATACTTTCTATGTCCCTAAAAGCCTCTCTCCTTTCTTTTTTTCTTTGTCCCAATATTCATTTCTCCTTTCCATTATAAACCACTTTTAATACTACTAATTCTTATCCAACCTATCACATCATACATATTAACTAATAATCTACTATCACATCCTACTTGTACCCATCACACCAAGGATAATTTGGGAAAGTCAACACAAAAATATCCCTTTCTTATATTCCACAAAAGTCCAGATACGGAGATTTAGGGACGGAGAGAGTATATTTTAGTAGATCATTTGATAAAGCAATATAGTCATGTCACTTCTTGTTCTGTATAACTTTTGATGTAGCTTTTAAATATATAAATTTTATATTTAAATTTCACTCCAAAATTTGAATACACTAAACTGAAAATAACTTCTACCAAATAGCGTAATCCGAAGTGGGAAGATTGTTTAGGGAAGAATGGAATAATACTCACCTGCATTGACCAATGATAACATGATCACCCTCTTTCACACGGAAGCAAGGAGAGATGTGAGCAGCAATGTTTGAGTGTCTTTTTTCATACCTGCCGATAGAAATTAGAGTTAGCATAATTTTTTCACAAAACTAAAGAGGAAACCAAAACAAATACTAAGTCTTGCCTCTGGTACTTCTTCACAAAGTGAAGGTAGTTGCGACGGACAATAACTGTTCTATTCATCTTAGCACTATGGCAAGTGCCCGCAAGGATACGACCTCTGATAGAAACATTGCCAGTGAAAGGGCATTTCTTATCAATGTATGTCCCTAAAAAAGGAGAAAGAGATTGGCGACTTTTCACAGACTTCACAGGAACTCTTTGAACAGAATGGGAAGAATTGATACAAACCTTCGATGGCCTCACGAGGAGTCTTAAACCCCAAACCAATGCTCTTCCAGTAACGGCTGCCTCCCTTTCCGGGCCTCTTACCCTTTACTGTTTTCTTTGAGCTGCAGATGTTTACTTTGTTAGTGGTTCTGTTTACTTTGTTGTAAACAACATCTCTATGTTCAAATAGGGGTAAGGTCTGCGTACACACACCCTCACCATAACCTACCATAACCTACTTTCTGTGGGATTTCATTGGGTTTATTATTGTTGTCCTGCAAAAACGAAATGTGTTCAAATAAACTTAACCCAACTCTCATACCTGAGGAAAACCCCTGGCTGCTTCAAGAAAGCCTTCTCAGTCTGCAAAATAACCCAAACCCATGTTTTTTTTTTTTTTGCAAAAAAAAAAACCAAAGATTGAAAGTTTGGAACGTTGAGAGAACGCGAGAAAAACCTGCTCTGCCATGTTAGCTGTTGAACGTATGGAGGCGAAAGATACGGGGGAGTTCAGCAGCTACAAATACAGCTTTGCTGGATGATGCTAACAAATGTAATACAGAATAGTTCATAATAATATAGTTCATGATAATCATAGAACTGCTTTCGGGTAATTTGGCACAAATGACAATTAGTGAATAGTCAGGACAAGAACCATGGACCAGCCTCAATTCAAAGATTTTAGTATATAGCATTTAAATCGTTCCCTCTGCCCCTAAGTGAAGTTTATGGTTTCAACAAAATTGTCAAAAAAAAATGTGGTTGCAATTTGTGTAGAGTGGAAAAACATTGTGAACAATCGAAAACACCATATCGGTCCATATCTCGTAATCACAATTCACACATACGAAGTGGCAATTAATATATAATTAAGTCCATTTCTAATAACAACCTCAATCACAATAATTTACCATACACATTTCATATTTTTCGTCTTGGAGTCGAGGGTCTTTTGGAAACAGTTTTTCAACTACCGAATAAGGGCAAGGTCAGCATATACACACTCCCCACACCCAACTTTTAGTGAAGATTTTAATGGATTTTTTGTTGTTGTTGTACACATTTCATTTTTCACCACTTCTCTTACTCCCTAAAAGTGAAATGGGTAATTCTTTTTGGGGACGTGTGTATATATGCATATACTCCATCCGTCCATTAATTATCTACCCGCTTTGACTTTACACGCAAATTAAGGAAAAGTAAAAAATATGTTGACTTTCCATATTCGTCCTTGGGTTAATTGTAAAAAGTGAAATAAAGTGTAGATATGAATAGTAATTAACGGGTAAAGATGAGGGCAATAATGTGAAGATAATTTATAGACTGACAAAGTGGGAAGATAAATTATGGAGGAAGGGAGTACTTATCTTTAACGGTAAAGGGATCTCTGCTTGATATGAATTACTACGTATTTCTTTGTTTTTAACAGAGTAAAAATTGTTTACACTGAGTCACTGATTCACAAACACTCGTGATTTCCAAAATGGTTCATCTCTTTCAAATAAAATCGCTGAAAATCAATTTCGAACTTTTGAAAATTGCAGAAAAATTTCACCTTTTACTGGTCCGATCGAAAATAAATAAATAACCTGATAACTAGCAATAAAAACTGAAGTAAAAATTGAAGCGTAGAAGAAAAAGATGGAGTGGCAAAGCAGAAAGGAAATACCTTACGATTGAATGCGAAAGGAAGAAGGGTAAATTGTCGCCTGAAACGAAGAGAAGCTTATTTCCACTAGGGTGTAGAATAATGGACTTGGGCTTAGGTCCAAATTAAATTAGATTGGGTAGTTACCGTTTTGGAAAGATTATTTAACAATAACATTTAGTTTTAATACTTCATCCATCCTTAGATGAATTTTTTTGTTCGAATGGCGGGTAAAATTTTCGTGACTTTTAAGATGATTTTATTTAAAAAGTGGTATAAAATTAAAAAATTAAACATGCGTATTTTAAAAACTAAATCAAAAGTTCTATAAAATAAAATATGAAAAAAATATTTTAATGTATTAAATAATCAATGAAAACATGTAAATAAACAAAAATTATCGAGATGCTGTAACAGTAAAGAAGTTTATCATTCTGAGATCGACAAGGGAGTATTAATTTATATCATTAAAGTTTTATGTAAAATGTTAATAGTAATACAAAAATATATTATTCCCAAACAAAGTCTTATTGTAGTAATTGTCCAAACGTAACCAGTTTATAATGAGTTGTTGTAGATTAAATTACACTTAAGAACACAAATAAGGTGGTAACCATGATATGGAAAAGAAATTAAATTACACTTAAAAACCAATATGGTATTTATCCATCCCTCATTGAAATGTTTTTTTTTTTTGCTCTATTAGATGTTTGAATTTCTAATTAAACTTCTATTAAAATGTCCAAAACCCTCCACGCTAACACCTTTCTTTTCTCCTCCTCTATCCTCGCTGATTGGCTGTGGTGATTACTGTAGTCATTCAGCAAAGAGATGAGAGCCCGCCAGAGGAAGTGATGTAATGGTAGGAATTAGAGGGACATGAATTATCAATTTTTTTTAAAGTTATTTTTATTTATTTAAATTTGTATTTAAAAGAAGAAATGCATGGCATTGGTGACAATGGGTCACAAGATTAGCATTAAATTCAAACCAACCCTTTTAACCTATCTTTTCAAAATTTGTTAATGTCATTTTGATGAAGAAATTTGGTCCGAAGATCTACAAAGTGGCCGGTAAGTATGGTTAATGGGGAAAAAAGAATGAAAAAGATGTACCTTCAATTTATTTGGTGCGATAAAGACTGATATATGTACTAATTAATTAAATAATTTAAATACAGAGATCTGATAAAATGGAGTAAGCAAGAATAAAATTTGAATTTCTCTTATTATTTTAAACATTATTGAGTACGATGATAATAAATTAGTATTATTATTATTATTGATTAATAATGATAGTAATAATAATCACTATTGTTATTATTGTAATTATTATTAGATCATTATTTTTATATAATTTTTTAACATAAGTGGATCGGATTTGGATGAATATGATATGATCTAATCTGATTCTAAACAGAACTAGAAATAAGTTGAAGAGAACGGAACCTAAGTCTAGGACAATTTGTTCAGTATTACTCCATCCGTCTCAAAATGTAAGCAACAGTTACTATTTCGGTCTCTAGACAACTTCTGTTTGTTTACTCGTTTTAGTTGAGAATTTGATAAAATAAAATAATCTTCTCGCATCTTATTTTCTTACAAATAATTTAGTGATGATGTTCATTTGATGGAGAAATTTGGCCTGTGGATCTATAGACAAGTCCTAGCTATATGGTATGGTAGTAGTAATGGTACCTGAATAAACAAGGAAAAAATAATTTTCCAAAAAAAAAAAGAAGAAATAAATAGCTTCAATTCATTTCTTATTAAAGAATGGGACAATTATTATAGGCATCTAACTCCAACTAACCATTCATTAAGAAGCCTCCCATTCCCAGGCCATACCCCACACGTCCTACGTACTATCCCCATGACGACATTCCCTCTTTATGTCTCAAAATATTTATCAATTTTGATTTTTTTTAAAAAATTAAATTCAATGAAGTTTGATTGTAAATTAGATAAATATACGATAATTTTTTTCATTATAAATATAAAAACTTTTTTTTGCATTGTAATATACGGAGTAGTATTTAATAGTGAAATTAAATTAGGATATTAAATAAGAGCGTATAGAAAAAAGGAATTAGACGTCTGGGCGGCCTTTATTTCGTACTTTGTGGTTATTACTCACATTATTTTAACTTAGTACTCTTATGTTCCAAAGTTATCTTCTCAATTGTAATTCATACAGTTAAACTTTATTCATTTTCATTATTTATTTTTATTAATTATTTGATAAAATAATATAATCATGTCATCTTTAATTTTATATAATTCTTTATGTAGACTTTTAAATATGCAATCTTTATCTTTAAATTTTTACACCTATATTATATAATAAGTTAAATTGAGAATAAAGTTAGTTGATCTACTCTCATAATTTGAAATGTGAAGTTAATTTCAAGACAAATGGAGTGAATTGCGCATGCAAGTGTGCTTTCTATGATTTGGTGTTTTCAGACTTTATTTACTATTTTTTGTGAAGTCTTTTTCAGAATATACTATTAAATTAAACAAATATTGTTGGATGAAGAGAATTAATTAAAAGAAACCATCCCACATAAAAGAGAAAGTATAAAAATAAGAGTTCCGTGTTTTTATTCAATTCCATAAATAGGAGTTCACGTTATGATAATATAGGATGACATTGTATATGAACATTTTACGTAATGTACATGGTTATAATTGATAATTTAAGTATATTTTAAGTCTTATTTCAATAAAAAAAACATAAACTCTTATTTTAATATATTTTTTATATTTTACTCTTATTTCCTCTTTCTCATATACTCCGTAATTAACAAACCATGTTTATTAGAGCCATAACTCAACTAACCCATGTGGTTCAACATTATTTCTGACAAATCTCCACAATAAATAAATTCCTTTATTCATTATGCGGACATTATTAGAGCCTACCAGCCATCTAATAACGTGGCCATGCATGTACCATTATTATGTTTCTAAGTTTCATACTCTCACTATCTATAAAAAAAAATGTCCACACTTTGGCATTTTTAATTAAATTGTAACACACTTTCGCTGTGATTCATAGAAAAAACTTATTTAGTTATAATATAAATTTAATAAAATTCATTTTCTTTTAAAATATCAAATTTTAGTTATATTTAATTATTTTAAACTATATTTAATTCATGATCAAATGATGTCATAGTTTGACCAAAAATATTTTTAAATTATTTTATATGAAAACTAATATAGAATTTAAAAATAAAAATTACATATCAAAATACTACATCAAAAGATTTACAAAACCGGGATTACTTTGATGGGAAAGTAGAGTTAGAAGCTTGTACACGATCATATTTCTTGCGTCTTAGAATAAAATTCCACTTATAATTTATGATGTGTCATATTGAATTATTTTTAGTTCAATGAATTTCAAATATGGTGTACAATTAAAAAAATGTATTCCGTATGGTACTTCGTATATGTTTTAAACTTAAATTAAAAGCCTCACCAAAATACTTTCACTATATATTAAAAACTCACTTTTAATCATATTTAATTTTTTCTTGCCAATTATATCAGTGACAAAATAAAAAAGTCAACTATAACTTAACCATTTTCATTTTGGTTTTTGGTCAAATTAGAAAATGTTTCTCCAAATGGGAAGGAGTAGATTTTTTAAGAGAGAACAAAATATGTAATCCATATTCCTCGTGTCATCACATCCTACTTTTAATCATCACGTCAAGAATATTTTTACAGAGCCAACACAAAAATATTTCTCCATTAATTCTCTTAAAAGTCAAAATGGAAAGAACTTTAACGGACGGAGGAAATATTAATTTAAATCACACAATTTTAACTTTTTTTTAAAATTAAATTTTGGGACAAAAAAAGAGTACTAATTTTAAGCAAGAGAGTACTACATCACCAGGCCCATGTATATATATCCAGCTAGCATCTATATATACATCCACATTAACACTTGTACTCATATCATCTTTTTAATTTAATAATATCAACAAACACTCTCTTCTTCTTGAAGTGCATCAACAATGGCTTCCTTCTTCCCATCAATGAACAAGAAGCAAACAACAATGGCCATCCTCCTCCTCCTCTGCACCGCCATGGCGGCGGCCACAGGAGAAGCACAGCTCACATGCAGCACGGTGTTGAACACCCTGACCCCGTGCCTCGGCTTCGTCACGGGATCAGGCGGTCCCACGCAGGGCTGCTGCGGTGGGATCACGTCGCTGTTCAACACCGCCCAGTCGCAGGGGGTGGGGGCCCGCAAGACCGTCTGCTCGTGCCTGAAGAGCATTGCTTCAAGCGCGACTGCAGATCAGATATCGCGCGCCGCGAGTCTCCCGGGCAAGTGTGGGGTCTCCATACCCTACAAGATCAGTCCCCAAGTTGACTGTTCACTTATCAACTGAGGTTCGTCGATGGTTGACTGGTCAAAGATATATGTGTGAATTCGATTGCGAGTTATGTCTATCAGCTTCCATGTGTGCATGCATGTTTTATATAGGCATTGTGATGTCATAAAAAATAAAATAAAAGTGATTGTTAATAATTGAGGTTGCCATTGTACGTACGTATATTATTGGGGGGGTTAGCTTAATTACTTTTGATGGTACTTATGTATACTAACCTCTTCAAATTTAAATTGTACTCCGTTTTTATGTCTGAGTTCTTCTGATCTCTCAAGTGTTGTGAAGCTTTTATATACTCCGTATTATGTTCAATAAAAACATTAACATTGTGGGGTTTTATGGATGAGAAATTTACTTAAATAGCACTAAAACATAATGACTTTCCCTAAATAGCATCATATGCGTTTTTTTCTGGTGTATTATTAGTCATTATTCAAGTAAATGTTCGCCATCACTGATTCACTAGACATTATTCATCGTTCTGGACATTATTAAGTACTTGGTACTATTTAGAAAATAAAACAATTTAAGTTCTATTTAAATAAATAACTTAAATTTTAGTGCTATTTAGTGCAAATGTTTTTTTTATGGGTGTTGGTTGATTTTTTTTCTGGAAAAAGTTAAGTTGATCTACTACCTAGCTATTACTCCGTATTCTTTTTTTTTTGAGAAATACTCCGTATTCTATTTGTTCACAGTGATATTGTTTAATTTTATATTGGTATGAATGAAAATACTTTCTCCCTTCAAAAAATATCTTCCCATTACGCGTTATGATATTTGACTGAAGCTATTTTGAAAAAATTTATATGGAAAATGGTGTGAAATTAAAAAATAAAAATTACATATTATTGAAAAAAATGAAATGAAAAGACCTATAAAACTAGTAGTGACAAGACTATATTATTTTATCAAATAGATAACGAAAATAGACCAACAAAGTGAATAAAGTTTGATCATGTAAATAGTGATCGAAGAGATAATTTTTATGGCAGAGGTAGTATATAAAGTGTACATTACAAATTCCAAATGATATTTTCACTCCAGTTTTTAATATCGGCACTAAAAAATGCACATCTTTATTATAGTTTATAAGGAGAATTTTGCTAAATATTACTAAAATATAGTTACTTTCCAAATATATATAGAACCAAACATATGTTTTTATTTTTCAATATAGTACCACTCGTCATTGTTCAAGTAAATATTCCGCCACTAGACATTGTTCAAACTAAGGCCCCGTTCCTTACGATTTATTTTTTCTGCTTTTTTCTTATTCTTATTAAAATCAAATCAGATCCAATCAGGTGTGATCAGATCCCATATCCAATCAAATCAGATCAAAAGTACAAAAAATTAGATCAGATCAAGAAAACTAAGTTGAACAGAACGGAGCTTTAATGTCCACTATCACAAAACATTCTTCCCGCCACTATACATTATTTAAATACTATTTAGAGAATAAAAAAATTTAAGTACTACACTGAGAAATGACATATGTTCTAGTACTATTTAGTACGGAGTACAAATTTCACTTATTATAAAAAAAGAGCGGAGTATAAGATAAAGATATACTCCTTCCGTCCCGGAAAACATGAGAGTTTTGATTTTAATTTAAAGATGGATTTAAGGGGAGTGTATTTTAATATTGAATTTCCAAAAATGTCCTTTGATGTGATGGGTAAAAGTATGATTTGATGGATAGATTTTTAGTAAAAAGGTATGATGTGAAAGGTAGGGTATGAAAAAGTAAGGGGTAAAAGTGACTTTTTAATAGAAATGAGAAGTGTTTTTTGGGACGGATGAAAAAAAAGAGAAATATAATTATTTACTACGTGGTGAGTACATTGTAATAAACTCAGTACTACTGGCCTCCATCACAAAATCTCACTCTTTCTTTATAATACGTGAAATTTGAACTAAGTAGTATCGGAGTACTTAAAAATATGTCATTTCCCAATGTAGAGTGCATCACAACCTCATATATTTGATACTTCGTACTCCCTCCGTCCTAAAATTAATTTCCCATTTGACTTTTCACGGTCTCCAATGCGACACTTTGACCATTAATATCTCTATTTTTATGTGAATATACATTATCAAAATAATATATTTCAAAACTATGTTTCAAAATGAATCTATTGATACCAAATTTATATGAAAATTCAATATATTTTTTCCGTAATATGCAGTCAAAGTTTAAAAACTTTGACTGCAAAAGTCAAAATGAGAAATTAATTTTAGGACGGAGGGAGTAATATTTATGATAGATTTTGTGTTTTAGTCGGCTTCTATTATTGATTCTCATTTCTAGTTGGGTTAGTCATTCCTTCTCTATATATGTACACTCACCATGTATTCTATTATTCTTCGTGTAATACTCCTTCCGTCCACAAATAAACTTCTCGTTCACTATTTACAGAGTCAAACTTTATTCACTTTGTTGGCATATTTTCGTTATCCATTTGATAAAATAATATAGTGATGTCACATTTGGTTTTGTAGATCTTTTGATATACTCCAGGGTAGTTTTTTAATATGTGATTTTTATTTTAAAATTTTACACCATTTTTCATATAAAATGATTTAAAAATAATTTCAGTCAAATATCGTAACGCGCAACGAAAAGTTTATTTGTGGACAGAGGAAGTATAATTATTTTAATAATTATTCTAATATACTATCATATGTCTTCAATTAGAAAAAACCAATGATCAATGGACTGTCATTGGTGCTCAATTACTTTGATTATTAATTAAACAAAAAATTACTTCTATTTTTAATGTTCTAGAAGTGTAGATTTAGTAAACCCATATTTGTATTGCTCCACTATACAGCATTTTGTATTTGTCGGTTCCCAAAGAAAAATTATTTAACTAATTAATCATCAAAGATCATACACTCTCCGTCTTAATGTATTTGTCCAGTTTGACTTTTTCGAGTCAAATTAGATAAATTTTGAGCTTCAATTAAATAAAAATCGTAATGTATTTTAATATAAAAATGATTTTATTGGATTTATCGTATTGAGAATTTTCAAAATTGTATTTTATTCTTCTAATATGTAATATAAATTGAGAGTAATTGGAGTTCAAAGTTTGTTCAGTTTGACTCGAAAAAGTCAAATTGAACAAATACACTGAGACGAAGATAGTATAATCTATTTCTAAAAAAATCACATAATTTAATTAAAAAAAGGAGTCAAAGTTAGCCCATACTTTGCGACGAGATTAGTAAACCATAATTAAGTAGCCCAGATGCCCAGCCATAACTCAACCCATAATTAATTAATCATCAAAGGTCATATAATCTATTGCCCATTTATCATAGCTAGCATCTATATATAAACATCCACAATAACACTTGTTCTCGATCATCTTTTTGTATCATCATCAAACCATCATTATATTTCTTAAAGGCAATAACAATGGCTTCTTTCTTCCCATCCATGAACAAGAAGCAAACAACAATGGCCATCCTCCTTCTCCTCTGCACCGCCATGGCGGCGGCCGTAGGAGAAGCACAGCTCACGTGCAACACCGTGCTGAGCACCCTGACCCCTTGCTTCGGTTTCGTCATGTTGGGAAAATCACCTCAATTTTCTAGCGGAAGCAATAAATAATTTTCCCGTCTTTGTGTTGTCAAAATGGGCAAAATCATATGACCGATCAAGAATAGCAAACACAACAACAAGCAATCAATCAAACGATAAACGAACACCAAGATTTAACGTGGAAACCCCAAATCAGGGAGAAAACCATGAAGCCTTCCACTAATCACCAAGAAAAATCAGTGGGTACACCAAGAATCCTCTCTAAATCAATTAGAGATATACACAATCATCAAGCAACAACTTGGAACACCAAACAACAATAATCTTCACTCAAAAGTGAGAAAACCCTACAAAAACGCAGCAGAGGAACAGAGGCAGTTTTACCGACATCGAGAGGTCAAAACAACAATCCCACCGTTGGATATGAAGAAGAGGATGTGAGGAACAACATACTAAAATTTCATCCCGATCGGAGCTCGTTTGGTCGTCGATCGGAGCAAAAACCCGGACTGCTGCACCACTTTTTTTCTCTCTTCTTTTTCTCTCGGCTCTCTCTATTTCCTCTCTGTTTTCTGCGTTGCTTCTTCTGCCCGTGACAAGAAGCCACAAAAGGCTACTGCCTTTCAAAAGTGGCAGCCCCACTTTTACTCCTTTTTTTTCTTTCTTATAATAATAATAATAAATATTATTATTATTATTATTATTATTATTATTATATTACTCCACCTCTAAACAAATTACATTTTTAACACCAAATGTATTGTTTAGGAACTCCTTCCTCCATGTAGGAGGGATACCCCAACAAGTCATGGGATCTGGAAACCTCTCAAAGGAGTGTTGTGGCGGGGCCAAGTCGGTGTTCAAAACCGCCCAATCGCAGGGGGTGGGGGCCCGCAAGACCGTTTGCTCGTGCTTGAAGAGCATGGCTTCGATCGCGACTCCAGACCAGATGTCGCGAGCCGCGAGTCTCCCTGGCAAGTGTCACATTGCCGTGCCCTTCAAGATCAGCACTCAAGTTGACTGTTCAACCATCCACTGAGGTTAATGGTTGAATAGTCAAATGCGCGCGAATCCCAACTTTAGTCAATCAAGCTCCACGTGTGCATGCACGTTTTATAAATATATAAGTAATGTGATGTACTAATGTCATCACAAAATAAAATGTAATACCATCATGTCCGCGATGTATTGTTTATGTTAATTGAGGTTGCCATTGTACGTACATTGGGGGGTTAGTTTAATTACTTCGATGGTACTTATTATGTATTCTAACCTCTTCATATATGAGATGTGTCAAGCCTGTGTTTTTATGTTTGAGTTCGATCTATTTTCAAATCTTTTCGGCCTTTTGTTTTATTAATTCCTGTTTAATTATCAACATTATTGTTTGTTTTTTACCGTTTTTAATGTAATACTTTGACCATTAATATTTATATTTATAGATGATTTTATATTATAAAATATGATATTTTTAAATCTTATTTCAAGATAAATAGATTAATACTGAACTTGTATCAAAACTTAATACTCCCTGCGTTACACAAAATCTTTCTTCTTTCTTTTTTCATATGTCCGAAAAATATTTTTTTATTTTTATTAAAAAATCATTTTTGCCCTTATTAATTCTTAACATAGCTATCAAATTAGACATTTTGACTATAAACTTGTGGGAAACGTGTTCGGGTTGGGGCATGGTGGAGGGATTTACCAAAGGATAAGAGAGTAAGAACCGCCAATTTTACAAACGGGACGAAAGTGGCCTCGAGTTATCATGGTAAAATTGGGTCATGGTTGCGAATTTGGGACTAGGAAGTCGTAATCGATCCGGGCTTTCATTTATAAAAAGAAAGCGGGCCTAATATAGGCCATGAGTCCTACTAGAAGTCTCAAACCCCTTTCTCCGGCAGATGAGAGTGGTGCAGACGGCGGTTCAAAATCTCCCTCCGGCGAACCACCTATAAAGCTAAAATCTGAACGGCGTTTATACCTGCGTTCTCGAGAATGGGGCGTGAAATGGCGATCTCACTGGATGGAGTAAGGGACAAGAATTTGATGCAGCTGAAGAAGCTCAACACCGCCCTCTTCCCTGTCCGCTACAACGATAAGTACTACGCCGATTCAATCGCCTCCGGCGAATTCACCAAGCTAGGTCTTCCTCTCCTCCTCCTTTCCATTTTCGTCCCACTTTATGATTTTCTCCTCTTGTCACTGATTTAGGGACAACAACTTGATGCATCGGGGTATTTTTGTCAATATAGTATTCAATTATGTTCAGTTTTTTTTACAATGGTTTTGGCTAACCCTGCTTATGGGTTCTGTTTGTACATAGCTATTTGAGTATGAATATTTTACATTGGCTGCAAAAAAAAGTATAAATAGTGACTGATAGGTGGTGAAGTGTTCTTGAATTAATTGAAGAATTTTCCATTGAATTTAGCGATAATTGAAGTACTGGACTCGGGTCTTTGAAGCTGGTTTCAGTAGCCAAGCAGTTTCTCTTATAAGATGGAAACAATCAAGAAAGGGCCAAATGGTCCATAGGATGGTATATATATATTTTCTTTTTTTTGGAAGAAAGAGTTTGATTGTAGAAAAGAAAAGGAAAGCATCCATGTCACTTGCAATTGGTTACTTTCATAATGCACATGAATGAAGATTCATGCCATATGAATGTGACCTGTAAAGAGAAGACTTATTTGGAGAGAACAAAGGCTTCATTGGTTATGTTTCTCTCCATGTTTTAAATTTGACAGAAGTGGTCCCTTATCAATGAACTTTTTAGAAAATCATGCGTGATAGTTTGGGTGTGTTTACGGTAGTTTGGAAGATATGGCTTGATAGGTCTCATGGATTTTAGGACATGAGGTATGGTTGGAATTGTCGATGAGAAAAGTTTTCTTATTGGTTCATTTTTATTTTTTATGTATAAAAGCTTTATTGGAATGACTTCTTATGCATTATTGCTCAAGGCATTAATGGTTGTGTGTACCATGGTGTTCAAAAGGGTGTCTTTGGTTGAAGGGGAGGGTAGGGTTTTATTATCCCCTTGTCTGGTTCAAGCGGGGACGGGAGCTGAGGTAATAGTTAATTTACCATTATACATTTGATATGTTTTTATGAGGAACCAAGGATGCATAGTTAGTGTGTTCTATTTATTCATATGTTTAAATGAGGTACAATCTTATTGGATAGAACCAGAATTAGAGAAGGGGATGGGAGGACATGATTTGGCTATCCCGCCAAATGAGGGGAAGGTAGCACCCCCCCTCCCTCAAACCCCTCCAACCAAACACACCCTGAGGAACTCATAGTTGTTATTGCTCAACTTAAAGTCAAAACTACTCCGTAGTTAGTTCTACGCCTGCCATTATCATATATCAGAGCTCAAGCATGGAAAATATAAAGTTAATGTCATCATCATCAGTGTAGTCTGCAGTGACTAATGGCCTTCTTTTTGCCCCCCCCCCCAAAGGAATAATCCCGCGCATAGGGTTTAGATAGGGGTATGGGCAATGCTCGTGACATTCTGATGGCAAGTTTTTTTTTTTTTCATTACTTCATGTATATGGTAGAATTCATGCTTCATGCTACTAAGCATTATCTTTTTTACAGAATTAAGTTTGTATTTTCAATGTCTAGATATTTAGTTCAACTGTTCAAGTAAATTTTTTTTGCCACGTGAAACATTGTCATTTAAATAATATGATATTAAAGACTATACTGGCATGGTGGATTGCTTCTTATGCAGCATACTACAGTGACATTTGTGTTGGTTCAATTGCATGCCGGCTTGAGAAGAAGGAAGGAAGTGCCGTGCGTGTATACATCATGACCTTGGGAGTTTTGGCTCCTTATAGAGGATTAGGTGTTGGTAAGCAATCTACTCCCAATATGTTATCTTCCTCTCTTTGTTTACTTTTTTTTATTACCGGTTTGCATAAATAAATCATGATTCTAATTAAGGTGAGACTGTTCTTCAGTTTTTTCCCTAAACTCTATGCTTCAAAATCACATTCACATTAATCACATGATTCTGTTGCCTTGTTGACTTTATGACCCCCCCCCACCCACAACCTCTCCCAAACCATCCTCCCAAGTTTGTTTTCTTGCTCATAAAGTGATTGAACTATTTCTTGGTCAACTCAAGCATTTGAACTCCTAGTTCGCCTCTGGTTGATCTCAACTTACCTGTGTTGGGATTTTAAGCGCGTAAGATACCGAAAAATATTGAGAACACCAGAAAAATGAGAGAAGAAACACAAGAAGAATATATGAGAGAAAAAATTATATTTCCACTACTTCAAGACAATATACAAAAAACTCTCCCCTGTTTACAAGGCTAAATTCCAGACACTCGTAAACAGATCTTTCCACATCCTATGCCCGGATATATTTTTCCGAGTAACTAAAACCAGTTACTCCCTACACTCACCCACACTCACCAAGACCCCTTGGATTTTCCCGGTGGTATTCTTGTGTAGAATTCCTCTCATGCTTCTCTCTCTACCTTGGTGGTGTGTAAAACCCACACACACATCTACCTTAGTCTCACTCCTTTTAAAGCAACTCAAAGCCCCTCAAAATCACTCGTACATGTGTAATGCCTAGAAGATGCTTGTTGATTTGCACTAATCCAAAGAGATAGAAACAAAAAACCAAAAAAACTCTTCAAATGCATGTTGTACATCCAAATGCATGTCACTATCCTTTTTCCTTTTTTTTTATTTCTTTTTCTCTCTTCTTGAATATTTAATCAATATTTCCCAACAAACTCCACCTTGATTAAATAATCAACAAACTTTGTAGCTCCACCTCAC